ACTTCCAAAATACCAATGTCAACTTAAAATGCATAAACAGCCGTCAGTCATATATATAGAGCTTTTTGTACCAAATAAATTTTAAAAATATTAAAAATTTTTAATATTCACCCCTCTCCTCTTTAAAAATACAATTTAACCCCTCTCCATTCCTCTTTCTCTCTAGAAATACTACTCACCTCTCCCCATCCTCATAAAAATACAATTTACCCCTCTCCAACCCTTTAAAAACACAACCCATCACACCCACCCTTTCCCACCCCTCCAGAAAGGCAAAAAGAAAAAGAAGAAGCCAAGCAACTCTGCCCTTATATACCGGTCGATTGTTTCGAAATCAGACTACAAATCGCAACTGTTAGTTGCCAGACACTACTGCCAATTGTATTGTCAATCAGTTGCTCGATCAAACCTTATACTTGTTGTCAAACAAGCAATGTCTCAACAGTAGTTTCTGATAAATTGCTTGGAAATCATTGTTTTCAACTTATCTTTTTCTGCTTTTTCTCTGTTTCTATGACTTGTTTTTCGCTTTTGTTTATCGTATGTTATAGTAGGTTGGTCTCAAGACAAGTAGTGATATTTTGGACTTTTCATTACTCGTCTTGATCTGATCCTAGGTCCGTATGTCTTTTCTTTTTATCATCTCTTTGCGATTTCTCTATAAGCCCCCTGCTCGCCTTTTTTTCTATTTCTTTATCTGCCATTCTTTATCGTACCCTTTCTATTTCTCGATATTTCCAAAAAAACTGCGTTTTATGCTATGATATATCACTTCCACTATACTTTTCTTCATCTTCATGCCATTTATTACTATTTTGCTTACTCTCTCTATCTGCTGTACTGTTTCTTTTTCTCTCTCCATCTACTGTTCTATTCTCTTTCCCTTTTCATCTTCTGTACCATTTCCCTTTCTCTCTCCATCTACAACGACATCTGCTTTCTCTCGCTAAACTTTTATTTATCACTAAAAAGTTAACGGTCTGACCCTGAGGACGGCCCTTAACGTGAACATCTGGCCCTATTTCTTGCCACATATGTTCACTTTTCCATTTGATTTGTCATCTTTTAACAGAAAAAACAGCTACGTCAAGGTTGGTAAGACTACGCAGTTTTAGGCTAGACTTCTAATGAAGAAATTTTGATATTTTACTTAGGGTTAGTTATAGTACAGTAGTTTTTATGTAAAATACGGGAAGTAAAGATACTGACAAAATACGTGCAAAAACATTTTTTAAACTTTTTTTGTATTAGATAACCCGCCTTTACTTGTAAATCACCATTACTTCTTCAAAATGTAATTCTTAAGACATCGTATTACGTTATAAACCTATAAAACCTATAAAACTTAATCAACCATCTCATTATCAACTAAAAATAGATCTAAACACTACTTCCTAGTCCAACAAAATCAACTTTTTTGATCTCAAAACCTCATCTAATGTTAATCAAATCAAATGTTATTCTATAACAAAAGGAATGTCATCCCTGCCAATCCATCACATCTTTTCTCAAAAACAAAACCTCAAAACCCACGTAAAACATGTGTACGATAGATCAGTTATAAAGTTTTGATAACAAATAACAAATTTGAGTCGATTCTAGACTAAACACAACAAAGATCAGTCTGATTTTAAAGGTTAACAGGAACAAGATCAGTTTGATTTCACTGAAGTAAGTGCACTATTAGGGATTAAAGTATGGCTTGGTAAGGGTAGGTATAAAATGGCTTTTGGTATTGGAAAGGTCAGAAAGTAAAGCAGGAAAAAATTTACAAATTTTTTAACAATAAAAGTAAAAACACATTTTTAAAATGTACTCCTCCTATAAAACTTTTTCAATTTACCCCGTTCTCCTAAAATAAAGGTCATTTACATACTGCTCCTTCACTCACCTTTGCTCTAACACCCTGTCATACCTCACCCTTACCATATTTAAACCATAGCCCTCTTAACACCTCTATTAGACTAGCCTTCTTCCAAACTTATACATATTATGTATTATGAAAACTGGGCCTCAAGAAAGGTGGAACACAATTGCCCCGTTAGCACTGTATATTACTAAACCGTATATTATAATGAAAATTACAAAAAAAATGTGCCAAGAAAACATAAATTGATTTGTGGTAGTGCATTGTCTACGTTTCATAGTTTTTCAAAGAGTTCAAAAATTAATTGAAACGATTGGAATGTTAAGAATGCACTTTTCACCTAAAGCCCTCCGGCACTCGCTTTACACGGCTGTTTTCTTCGAAATCCACACAGATTTAAGTCATCAAACTAAGCGTCAATTAGGTTGATTGTAAACTTTATCTTTGTTTTTCATAATTAGTGTAAATATAAATGAAAAAGTAAAAAAAATTAAGTTATCAGTGACCAAAAAATTAAAAATCAGCAAATCTTCCCTATCCCTTCCCTTTAGACTAGGCCTGTAAAGATTCCAAGCCCACTTTTTCAGCTGACTTTTTTCAAATTTGCTTTAGCCTAGCATAGTTAACCCCGATCAGCTTTACCCCAGACAGTAAACATTTAACCGTACCCTTAAAATCCGTGAAAACCAGCAATGTCAAGTGTAAACCTTGTTAACACTCGAGACTAGTCTTTAGTCCTCTCGAATCTCGAGTAGGAGGTCCCTTACGAACCCAATTTTCGCGCATTAAAGAACAAAAAAACAGGAAAGGTCCTGTTTAACATAATTGCAAGCTAATCATCATAATAGGCTAATAAACGTGTCAAAAATATCGTTCAAATGGGGCAGAATTAATGTTGCAGGGAAATTGCAAAAACAATATGAAATAGTTTTTTGAGCATGTGCAGAGCAAAATAGGAAAGAAATTTTAATTAGGTTAGAAAGGGGGCGGGGGTAGGTTTAAAAGAGGTTCTACTAGACTATGTCCCAGTCCGGTACGCTTATATCTAAAAGGTCAAGCCAAATATAACTTGGAAAAAAATCGGACCGAAAAAAAAGTCAATCTTATATGTATAAAATTTTTCAAACTGTTTTTTATTATTTTTTAAGTAAGATATTTTTAAAAACATCCCTTTCTCTTTTCTTCAAGTTAAATATATATTATTAGGTTAAATCAACAGTAGCGGGACAATTTTTATTGAAAAGTAAATTAAACGTGTCCCGCTACTTTTGGTTCAATTAACACGTTAAAAAAACTGATTAGAAATTTTTAACTTTATAATTATATAATACAAAAGTATAAGAAACCAAAACAACTTTCTTGCCCAAACAACAAAGTGATGTCTAACCCACAACACCTTACTTATCTTAATTTAATCCAGACAAACATCTTGTTTTGCGTGTTATGACAACAATTTTAATGTAGAAATAGCTAGACATTTCTCTGTAAAAATTTGTAACTTAAATTAAAAAAGAACTTTGTAGGCTACTATTCCTTTGACGTATTTTACCATTCAAAGTGTTGATTTACTAGGGTAAACATCAAGTTTTATATGTTTGAAAACTGTTTTTAGATATTAGGTGTCACATAATAAAATACATAAAGAGTATAAAAATAAAGTACAACCAACAGAAACTTCTAAAATATAAACCTAATCTCTCAGCCTGTTTTTATATACATTTTCTGAATACCTAATCCCACGTTCAGATGAGCTAATATTTCAAAAGTTAAATTTAATAATTAAAAATGGATTAAATTGACAAAGATTAAGTTGTAGACATTAAGAAGTAAATAAAAATCTTAAATTCAAACAAATTATACCTCAATCCGGATGTGTACTACATATTAATACCTATATTAGTATGGTAAATGGATAAAATTGAGAAATAGTACAAGATATACATAAAAAGTATGCTAGACTATAGTGAAGAAAATAGTATTTCTATATTAACCCTACCCTACCCTACCCTCCCTACCCTACCCTACCCTACCCTACCCTACCCTACCCTACCCTACCCTACCCTACCCTACCCTACCCTACCCTACCCTACCCTACCCTACCCTACCCTACCCTACCCTACCCTACCCTACCCTACCCTACCCTACCCTACCCTACCCTACCCTACCCTACTCTACCCTACCCTACCCTACCCTACCCTACCCTACCCTACCCTACTCTGCTATACCCTACTTAACATTACCTTGCCGTACATCCCTACCTTAGTCCACTCTTCTTTGTATACTAAATCAAACATCCATATGTATATAACGTTACACACACAAACCAAGCATTACATATGACACAAACCCACCTTGCGGAAGAATGTGAAATTGCCATGTAGAATGCCAACTTGTGTCAAATCATGAGAACCGAAGAAGATACGATGACAGTGCAAACAACACAACTCCACCTTGGCTTCCGTATTTTCAATTTCCTCTTCGGTCACAAAATGCATATTCGATAGGTTTTTCATGGTAAAATACGTCAAAGTATTTCTAAACTAAAATAATATCGTAAACGTCAGAATTGTAATACTACAACTCTTAAACGTCTGAATACTTGAAGATTAATATTTTCTGTCAAGTACTATTTAAATATTTAGGTAGTCTCCAGTTCGTACAAACTAGTATCTGTACTGTGTCAATACTGTAGTAACAAAAACAAAAATTTTTTATTTTTGAAAAAAGCCAGCTATCCCAATGAGATCACAGTTTATCTTTATTAATATCGAGTCAAGTCCGCTTCCTGGATTTGTTTGTTCACCACAAACTTGAAGATATCTCAACTTTTATATTACACTCGATCTTTGATTAAGTTTCAAAGCCATTATTTTTGAGTTTTAATTACTTTTGTTATATATGATAGATTTAAAAATCATTAAGGTCGGATTGTGAGTTTTAATTTTTTTTGTTTACTGTTGAAGTCAGCGACTCAATCAACCGCTCACCACTATCACGAGAAAACCGAAGTTACTTTATTCAGTGAATCTCGGCCTTTTATAGGGCCGAGGAAAGACATTTCACAATAGACAAATAACTAGAAACGGTTGGAATAAATCGTATCCCAACACCTCCTCCAACGTGTTGAACACGTTTACTGGCGAGAACATCCCGGGCGGTCTTCGAACACGATGCGAGGTCTGGCCGGTTTGATCTCCTGGTCCTGAAGTTGGGTCTTGAGAGCGTCCAACTGTTGTTGCAACAGCTCAATCTGGCTTTTAGCAGCCTTCGAATCCGAAATCTGCTCCGCCGATTCAGCGCTAACTGGAATCTTGGCGTCGTGTACCAGCGAAACTGAGGTGCGTGGCACAATAACGTATCGCTTAGGGGAAGTCTCCGAGGAATCTGGCTTATTCAGCCTTCCTAACCGCGACCGAGACCTGAACCGGTTTTCTCGTTTCGGAGAGTCGTAACGGCGGCGCTCAGAACATTGAGAACCAGAAGAAAAAGCCAGAAGAATACCGACGTCCAGAGTCACGAGAGTTTGTTGAACAATCTCCACGAAGCGGGGACAGTGACAGTAGTCGACGGGGCTCTTCCTCCTTGGCTTGATTCTGCTTTGCCTTACGGCAACCCTCGACATTCGTGCATTTCAGCACTTTTTTGCAGCAATTACACCGCATGTTCACAACGAATTGACCGTTCGAGAGAGACACACTTTTCTCAAATGGATCGACCGAATGAGGGTTTATGCTGACTTCGTTTTCAATTTTGAGGTAATGAAGGTTAGCGGCTGTTGAAATTTGCTTACCGTCCTTGTCGTAAGACAAACGGACCGGTGGTGCTACATGGCGTTTGATGCGCCCAGCCGAAGTCCCTTCTAATAACCTTCCCAACGACGACCTTCTTGCTGAATTTCCTGACAAATTTCCGGCCTCCGGGTTCAATTCTCGTGTGTTATTTTCTGCCGCTCCTCCTCCATTGAGAACATCCCCGTTCACAGAGCCTGGCAAAGAATCTGAACCCTCTGGTATATCTGGCACCTCATTATTCCCTCCTCCTCCATTGTTCTGAGGTATGAACATTGGAATCTGAGGAGAAGAATCAGCATCACCAGATGGACCATGACGATGCTTGAGTTGATCGACGTGTCTGCGAATGATGCCGGAGTCGGTAACCACTAAGGCAATCTTAGTACCGTCAAAACTGTCAATCCGACCTTCAATCCATTTCACTGTGCCCGAATTGTACATTCTGGCATAAACGAAGTCGTCGACGTTGAATTGTCGGGGTTTCGTTGCCTTGTTGGCGTTCTTTAGCGCCGTAGCTGTGTACTTTTGAACTTGAATTTGTTCTTCCCTCGGTACTTTTCGTGGGGTTCGCGGCAGCAAGTCTAATCGTGACCGAATCTGTCGGCCAAACATCAAGTTTGCTGGCGCCATCCCTGTAGCTGGGTGTGGAGTAAGCCGATATTGAAATAACCATCTGTTCGCTTTGTCCAACGCCGACCCAGACTCACCGACAGCTTTGTTCATGGCCATTTTGAACGAACCAACAAACCGCTCAGCTTGGCCGTTGCAACTTTGTTTGTCTGGAGGCGAAAACAAGTGTTGAATGCCATTAGAAAGGCAAAAATTCTTGAATTCAGTGGATGTGAACTGACGACCGTTATCCGACACCACTTGTTCTGGGATACCAAAGGTAGCAAATAGCTGGCGCAACTTGGTAATCAAAGCTTTTGATGTTATCTTGGTCATAGGGTGAATTTCACACCATTTTGTGTAAGAATCGACCACTACCAGCCAATAATTACCCATGAACGGCCCACAAAAATCCAAATGCAAGCGAGACCATGGGTTTCGAGGTCTTTCCCAAAGGTGCAATGGTGCTTTTGGCGGGTCATTGGAAACAACCGCACAAATTTACAATCCTTGGCTAGAAGCCGAATTTTCTCCACCATCCCGGGAAACCAATAGTATTGGTGGGCTAAAGCAATCATTCTTGTAGCCCCCATGTGAGCAACATGTAGTTGTTTCAGTACCATTGGTTGAATCACTGGCGGTAAAACCACCTAATTACCTTTTAGTAAAGCGCCTCGGAACAATGTCAACGAGTGGCGTTTACGATAGAACTGAACCAACTGATCAGAAGGGCATTTGTCTAGCCAGCCCGTCTGTACGTATTTCTTGACCTGAGACATTATCTTGTCTTTTTCTGCCTTCCGAACTTGACCAAGACCAATAGGATACTGTATGACATCTTGCACGGCGTTCACCGTAAGATCTTCGACTTTCGTAGCTCTGTCTGGCTTCTCGTCCGGATTAGGAAGCCTAGAGAGACCGTCAGCGTTCCCAAATTTGTCTGTTGGAACATATTCGATGTCAAACGAGTATGACATCAAAAATGTAGCCCATCTTTGCAGCCGACGAGCTGCAACCGTTGGCAAACCCATTTTAGGACCAAAAATACGAACCAGTGGCTGATGGTCGGTCAACAATGTAAAACGCCTGCCATACAAGTACTGGTTGAACTTAGTAACTCCATAGATGATCCCTAACCCCTCCTTCTCGATCTGCGAGTAGTTTCTTTCGGCCGGGGTCAAGGTTCTACTGGCATATCCAATTACTTTAATGTTACCATTTGGAAATATATGTTCCAATTGAGCTCCAATACCGTAATCAGAAGCATCTGTAGACAGTCTGACTGGTAGCTGTGGGTTGTAGTGTACCAGGACCTCTGAACTCGTCAATAGTTTCTTCAGTTCTTGGAAAGCAAATTGTTGCTCAGATCCCCATTCCCATTGACAAGCCTTCTTCCTTAACTTGTTCAAAGGGGCTGCTACAGAAGACAGTCCTTTGACAAACTTTGCGTAGTATTGTATCATACCCAAAACGGAGGACAATTCTTTAATGTTTCTTGGAGCCGGCATCTTCCTAATGGCTTCAACCTTCTCAGGAATAGCCTTGATGCCTTCAGAAGTCAAAATATGACCCAGAAGCATGATTTTTGGCTCAAAGAATTGACATTTTGAGGCCTTCACCTTCAATCCAGCGTTTTGCAACCGTGTCAGCACGGCGAACAAATTTTCAGCATGTTTGTTGTCATCTTGTCCCGTTACCGTAATATCGTCCAGATAGACGGCGACATTAGGTATACTTTGCAATATCTTCTCAATTGTTGATTGGAAGATTGCTGGAGCCGATGCGATACCAAATGGTAATCTAGTACACTGGTACAATCCTCTTGGTGTGCTGACCGTGCAGATCTTCTGAGAATCTGGCGAAAGCTTTAACTGAGTAAAGGCCGCCTTCAGATCGATCTTGGAGAAAGTTTTGCCTCCATTTAACGACTGGAATACTGACTCTACAGTAGGTATTGGATGTTCATCTACGTCCAACTGTGGGTTTATAGTCCTTTTGAAATCGACACAAAGTCGAATTTTGTCGCCTGGCTTTGGAACAATGACCAATGGCGAGGCAAAGTCAGTATGTCGTACTTTCTTCCATTCACCGGACTTTTCCAACTTGTCCAACTCTTGATCGACCTTGTCCCGTAAAGCAAAGGGAATTTGTCGAGAGCGGAAGAAGACGGGAGTAGGGGGTTTCTTGAATTTGAGCTCCACGTCCGGGCCTTTATAAGTACCCAAAGAATCATCAAAAAGCACCGCGAACTTTTCCTTGATCTGGTCTACCGTTAGACCGAATGCTGGCATTGGTGGGACGACTTGGTGCACAAAATACGGTCCCATATCGAGCTTGAACTGGCGATAAGATCTCTACCAAAGAGAAGGTGTCCATCGCCTTCAAGAACCACCAGCTTGGCACATGTTGTTTGACCTTCAAACTTCATTTCCACTGTACAGCTTCCTTTTAACGGCAATGGTGTGCCCCCATATGCCTTCAGACGCCCCAAAGTTGGCGTCAACTGCGGTTTTCCAACGTTATCCCACACCCCTTCAGGGATAACCGAAACAGCCGCTCCACTATCCAGTTCCATTTCGAAATTTTGGCCATTTATTTGAACTGCTAGCTTTGTGGGCGGGCAGACAGCGTGCAGATCAACTTCATCGACGTGCATATGTAGCAGGTGAAGAGGAGGATCGCTGTCACTGTCACCGTCAGGATCAACCCATTCTGTGTCGTTGATTCGTTCCTTCTTGTTGAAACGACGCTGATTCCGTCCATTTTGACGTGAACCTCCTTGACGATGACTTCCTTGTCCTTTCTTCTTCGGACAGTTTGAAACCAGATGTTCGGTGGATCCACAGTTATAACATCTTCTCTGATTTCCATTCTGCTTTCCTCCTTGGAAAGCTTTCTTCGGTTTACGACGATCGACGTAAGAGACAACTCCTTGATGTTCAGAATCCGGTTTCATGGCTTGTGCAGCCGACCGTGCTTGCTCCGAAGTCCGTACCAAAGCTCGAATCCGTTCCAACGACGGATTTTCTTCCTCCAGAAGCCGTACCCTGGTCTTATCATCTCGAACGCCGGCAATAATGGCCTGGACTTGAACAAATTCTCGAGGATTAGTTATCGAATCGAGATCGGCTTTCATTGACAACGACAGGATCTCCATAATGAACTCCTCCGAAGTCTGGGACGCCTTTTGGCGACAAGAAAAGATCTTGTGCCTGATTGGCGCTAACATAGCCGGGGGATCGTAAATCCCTTTCAAAGTATAACACAGTTCCTCAAAAGTCTTATCCATAGCATTCTGCCCATTCAGAGCGACCGTGAGCTGGTGGAATACCTTGGAACCAATCTGCTGTAATAAAAACAGCTTTTTACTCTCGTCCGTCGTCAAATTGGCAATCTGAATGTACGTATTCAGAAGGCCGGAGTATGAAGTCCACGACATAGAAGCAGGGTCGAAGCTGCCTGGCCCTCGATGGCCGCAAGCCGATGAAGCATTAGACATGGTCTATTGGTACCAAACAAGACCGTCTAATCCTGAATCCGTGCGAAATCGAAGTGCCTGATCGCCACTTTATCGTTGTTGAAGTCAGCGACTCAATCAACCGCTCACCACTATCACGAGAAAACCGAAGTTACTTTATTCAGTGAATCTCGGCCTTTTATAGGGCCGAGGAAAGACATTTCACAATAGACAAATAACTAGAAACGGTTGGAATAAATCGTATCCCAACATTTACCATATTATTTTCTCAGTAGTGGACGATGAAGATAGTGTCACGGATATAGGAAAGAATTAAACCTAAAAAGAGCCGAACCTAGACCAAGCCCCGTGGGCCGCCAAGATGACAATAACTACAAAATAAAGCCAAACACTTTTAAAGGAACCTTTATTGCTTCATAAAACAATATCAAATTAGTAGAATCGGACGATGTTACGAACGTGCTGCCACCAGGTTTGCATCTATGTCTCCGTTGGCCGGTTTCTGGTCCTTTATGAACGCTGAAACCCAAAAATAGATTTCCATAACGAAGATAATGTCAAAAATGTTAAAAAGCAAACTAAAACTAATATAGAAGCCTTAAAACCCGTTATAGAAAAGTTTTTAGATTAAAAACTCCAGTTTTTGTCCTAAACTCAAAATTCAAAAGGTAAGTCTCACCCTTGACATCGTTCACGTTGATGTTCTTGTTGTTTCGCTTGTTCTTCTTGAAAGTCGTTACTGTGCAATGTTCACACGAGATGGAGGGACCACAACGATTACAGTTGACCATTTTCCAACCAAAAATATCGACCGGTAAAGAGAAAACAACAAGAAATAACCAGAAAAAGCGAGCCAAAACAAGAATACTCAAAATTGTTTTTCGAAAGGCGTGCTAATTTGAATAGGTTAAAGTTAAAATTGGTTTAAACTTTGAAATATGATAAAATTGCACTCTTGTTGAGTAAAAGAGTTATTTTTCTAGGCATAAATTTACCCATCCACCCCAGTGCCATAAACAACAGTTTCTACCTTATCACGACCCAGTAGTAGCATTACTACTACGGGTAAAAACTAGTGAAAAGGTAGTGTCAAATGTCTGAGACAAAAAAAAACAAACCTTTTCGAATAGATCTCAACTCGAGGCAATTTAAAACTTAAAAAACCGCAGGCAAAAAAACTTATTTTTGAAAAAATATTAACCTTTAGCCAGCTTCTTCAATGCTCTGAGCTTCAAAGTCAGGTACTGCATAGATGAAAAGATTCGGGCGATATTACCAACCAAAAACTTAAGCACTAGATGTACCTATTACAATAAACCATTTATATGACTACACAGTGCAAAATATAAAATTTTAATATTAAAATCTATATTTATAACACGATATAACCAATATGCTTTTATCAATATATTTATTAGCGATTAATGGCACTTATTATGGCTGATAATACAAACAAGTTAAGACAATGTTTAAACGTGAATAATAAACCTTTTCGACTAGATTTTAGCCTGTGGCAATTTAAAAATTTTTTTAATTTCAAAAAAGTTAAAGTTAAGGCTTTTCAAGGTTAAAAAGTTTAAAATTTTAAAAGTTGAAATGTCAAATTTTTATACAAAAATTGAACTCTCCTCTCATTCCTTATGACCACCAATCCGACTGATCTTCTTGTCCTTGTTCCTCTTAGGGGGTGGTGAACCCACACCTCGTGGATGGCCACTGTATAGTCGATGATAATTGTCGGATCGTACATAACTCCAGAATCCAGACACGCCATTTTGATATAAAGCATCTCTCAATGGGCCAATCCAGGGATTGTTCTCCACTCTCAGCACTCGAGTTACCTGTTTTGGCTTTTTGTCAATCAGATCGAGATTGCCCAGTTCTGGAGGTATCACTTGAAGGCGGTTACCCTGGAATTAGAAATTATTGTTAAAGAAAAGGTTTATTTTACAAAACTGGGAAAAATAAATGCTTAAGAAGTTTTTATTAGCTTGTTCAAATGATTCTAATCCCGTTTCAAAGAAAATTTTCGAAGTTACGGAGCACAGAATTACTTAAAGGACCATAAAAAATTTTGTATTACCTGAATATGAAGCTCTTTCAGTTTACTCAACGCTCCCAATTGCCTTGGCAGATCAATCAAATCATTTTCTCTCAAAACCAAAATTTGCAAATTGATAAGGTGAGCCACATCCTCAGGGAAGCTCTCGAAATCATTGTCACCCAAGTACAATGCCCTGAGGGTGGGAATAAAGAAGAAGTTACCAGGCAAACTGGTCTCTCTCAAGTTGTTGTAGGTCAAGTCGAGGATCTCGAGCCGAGGGAAAGAACCAAAGCCTCGAGGCAGTTTGTAGAGTCGGTTCATACCCACATTCAAGATTTTCAAATTGGGAAGAGCTGAGATCGTGGTCGGGAGCTCTTCGATGTGATTGTTCCACAGATTCAGATTTTCCAGATTCACGAGATCACTGATGTTTGGAGGAACGACCGAGATCTTGTTGTGGGACAAGGTCAGACGGGTCAGGTTCTCGTTTTGGACTAAAAAAGTCAAATTAAGGCCTTTAAAATACATTAAGTTTTACAATATAATACATATTACAAAAATATATATTACGCATCATACCAATGTAAATACTGAATTACGATTTACGTATTTTACATAAATTTATGCCAAGATTTATTTAGCATATGAACTCTCTATTTTTGAAAACTTACAATTTACTTTAATTTGGTTGAAAGAAGTGATTCCACGATCAACCACTTCGACCTCACTGTCTTCATGACCTGGTTCTACCGACTTTTCTCGACCCATTTTACTAAAATTCGAATATTTACGTACCACGTTATGTGAAATTTATAATAGCAAATCCACCCGTATTTTAGAAATCTTTTTATGCTCTTACAGCCTTAAGTTCTTAGCACTTGATCATTTTAAAGCCTTAACAAGACCTTGGAAACGTTAATAATTAGTCCAAAGACAATAGATAAAGAAAAGGAAATAGTTCAAACCCGTATTTTACCTTTAATAATTAGCCAGAAGCAACGTTTTTAAATTTTAAACACTTTTAGTAAATTTATTTTCGTTTCCAAACTATTTTATCAAAGAAAACAAACGAATACATTACGAAAACGCTTAAAACCCCAAAAAAGCGTGAATTTTCTTATTGATTCGAAATAAAGAAAAATTGTTCCAAACTGATTGCTGGGCCCTTCTGGCTTCCACTGCCTACGCATTTAAACACTCAAAACAGCCGCTTTTATTATTTGAGTCAGAACATCTCTTGGAGCGGTGCCAAACGAAACAACAATATCGATTACTCGCGGTTTTTATTCTGATTTTCTTTTTCTCGTGTAACTTATAACAATAAAAGGTTGTTATTCCTCTTACATTATTGTTACAAATTTCGGATTTTAAAAAAGTTTTAGTTTCTCAATTCAATTTCTTGAAGTTTACTTAATGCTAACACTTTATAACTCGCATTTCTAACCCGAAACGTCAAAAAATATATAAATAATAATAGTAAAAAGCATCGTTATCGTTATACAGTTTTATTTACATTTTTTGTCATAAAAATTTGTGCAATTAAGAATCAATACTATTACATTCGTCGTATCATACAAGATTAAACCCAGAAAGTTATTTTAAAAAGCTAAATTAAAACTTTTACAATGCCAAAAAAGGGTATTCTTAAAGTAATTCAAAAAAAAATTCTTAGAACTAGCTTTAGACAAAAACTGAATAATTTTATACAAAAAAATGTATTTTAGACCAGTAAAATACAAAATATTTAAGCAGGAAGCTTGGGAAGCCCAAATTCGTCCACCAAAACTCCATTTTCCGTTTTCGACGCCGATGGAGCTCCAGGGTCCTTGGTTGGAACGCCTGGAGCGTTTATGGCTTCGTCCAGGTATGAACTGTCAGCATCGAAATCGAGTTCGTTACCCAAAGCTTCTAACTCTGCTTCCAGCTCTGTTTCGTCGATCTGAAATTTAATATATTAATTCAAAGGTAAAGAGTATTGTAATCTACATTATTTACAAAATCGTTATATGTCAACCGTCATACCACAAAATCTCAAGGCTCAAAAACCTCCTTTTATGTAAATATAGTAAAAACTGTACTTACATCAGCACAATCATACTGCCTTGAAAGAGCATCTTGGACCTCATTGTTCATTTCCAGCATATCCTCCATTTCATCGTTTAGGTTATCAATAGCATCAATATTCATCTTCTTGTATTCTTTTTGCATCACTTTAAGACCGTCTTTCATAGCGTTGAACGTTACCTAAATTGATATTATCATTAAAACCAACATTTTAATACATTGCTGAGAATATTAGAATTAATAACTTAAAAGTCGCTAAAATAGTAAAAATAGACTAGTAAATTCTCGTAAAGATGAAGGTAACGCATCTCCGTAATTCTTCAAAAGAAAAATTTAAAATCTCCAAAACCAACCTGATTATCTTTCATCGATTGAATGGCAAAGTTAGATTGCTCCATGTTAAAGCTCTGAGTTCCTAGTTGGGCACTCTGGTTCTCGTACTGTCTCTTCTGCTTCAGCAATCTAAACACAGAATAAGAAGAAACATAAATAACTTACCTTAAAGCTCGTTGTTTAACCAAATTCTTCGACGGTCCTTCGCGCATTCCTTTCATCTGATCCTTCATTTTGACCAAATCTGCATCGAGTTTGGCTATCTTCTTCTCTATAGTATCTGCACGAGCATCTACGTTAGCAATAGCATCGCTGAGGTTTGGTGGAGGAGCTTTGGGCTTCGAAGATCCGAATACTCGACGCATTCTGAAGCTAAATCAAAATAAGTGTTGAAAAAGTTTGTAAAAAGAGCAAAAGAATTGAAAAAGCGCGTGAAAAAGAGTGAAATAAACAAGAAAACAAATAAATTTGTCGCTCGAAAAGTTTAATGTTGTTTTAATATTCCAAATCGTCAAATATCATTATATTACACCTGATAAACAGTTGCATATAAAACTCAATTCTTAATATAACAAAAAATCCAGCGTTAACACACTCTTTCAAGAAAATTACTCATCAAACGAGTCTGTGATAACAATTTCTTAAATATTTTCCATAAAATTCGCTTAAAGCACAATGCCAAGTTATTTAAATTCTACCGTCAGGTCGCACTTTTCGTTGCGAGACCCGACCAAAAACTTGTTATATGCGTCACTTGTGGCCGCCGCGCGCTAAAACGAAAAAATATTTTTGCGAAAAAAGATTTTTAAAAACAAGGAAAAATCGCGTTATAAGATAACACTAGGCGACTGTTCATGTAAATTGGCATCAATTCCAGTGTAACATTAGGTTAATGTAGTGCCAACCGAAGCCGGATCTGAATGTTTTAGCTGACCTGTTGTGCTGCTTGTTTTGGTCTCTTTTTGCACTTTGTGGGGTCCGTTGGCGGGGTTTTTCGATTGATATTCTTTTTGGAAATGTTTGTTACCATAATTAGTTTGTTCTTGCTAAAGCTTTATTTACATATTTGGTAAGATATTGTTTTGAAATGGTTTAGATGGGTACTCTGCTAGCTGGTAAAGGAAGGTTTCTTTGATAGACTTTTGTTTTAAAGCGTTTCTTAAAGATTTCTTTAACTGTAACGTTTTTTTTTAAATGGAGTGGGTTTGAATGTATAATATTATGTTTTTTATAAGAAATGTAGTTTTATTATTTGTATCTTTGTTTATTGTAGTTTTTATACTTTTTGATGTCTTTTTTTACTTGTTTTCCACATTTTTAAAAAAGTGTTAACAAGTTATTTGCGTTTGATTTTGTTTTTTACTATAATACAGCCGTTAATTACAATATTATTGTTATTTAAATTGATATTTTGATCTTTGTTATTTTTAAAAGTTATTTTTAATTTTTTTCAATTTGTTACCTAAAATCTGTATTTTAGAAAATTTTGGGGCTCAGCTTGCTATGATTTTTATCTTCTAAATTCTAAAACAGCTTGAACTTCGATCAGATTTCAAAATCATTCTGTGCCGGATGTCGGAGGAAAAAGAAGAAATGGCCGTCCGCGAAGATGAAGTAAAGACCGAGAAGGTCAAAACCAAGAAGTTGGTCAAAGCAGATTCCATTCATCAGGAAACTGGGAATGAACCGGCTGAGAATGGAGAAGAAGGTAGTAGTGACAGCTCAAATTCATCGGGTTCTGGGGATGGTGTACTTCCCTCGACGTCGGAGTTGAGTGCTGACAGATTAAATGGAGTTCAGATTGGTCGAGTAAGTGGAATTTTTGTTTTTTTTTTATTTTTAGGAAAATTTTTGGTAGTTAATATTGGTTTGACTTGAAAAAGGTGTTATTGCTGTACCTTTTTTTTGCTGTTTGTAAATTTTATTGAAAAACAGTTGTTTGACATTTTTCAAAGCTAAAATTGTAAGCAAGTTCATCTTTTTTTAGAACAGCACAAACCGAGTCAAACTTTACGTTCTATGCGACCAACGCATTTGGGACGATCGAGGGACGGGGCATGTCGCATGCGTACAATACCCAGATGATCCGAACACATGGTGCATAGTGGTACGACTGGAAGCTTCAGGTAATGCTGAAGAGTCAAATTCTGAACTCTTTAAAGAAAAAAACGTGTTGGAATCGCCGGTCCAACGAGACACAGTATATCAACGACAACAAGGCACGCTGATAGTGTGGTCAGAGTCTGAATCCTGTGATCTGGCTCTGTCGTTCCAAGAAAAGAACGGTTGTACGGCGATTTGGGACAGGATTTGTCAGATTCAAGGAAAAGATCCGGACGCAGATGAGGAGGCTGATATGGACGATCAGCAAAGCGATTCCAGCAATTCCAACGCTTCTTTGTCGGCTGGACCGAGCATTGCTATTCCTGCTTGTACGGTGGGGAACTTGGCGGATATTGAGGGATTGTTGACTAATCATATGGCCACACCATCTATGAGGGAAAGAATGGCTAGCAGCTTACAAAGTCAGGGGTGAGTCTCTTTACACTTGCTTGTTTTTGATTTTTAGGTAACACGTAATATAAATACTGGTTTTTATAAGGCTTTAGATACTGTTACTTGAGTTAAGATTAGGCTCAGTAACTGTAGGCATTATTTTTAATGTTATTTCACTTAAAACGCAATTTTTAGATACATTTCAAAACTATGCGATCTATTCAAACTCTGCGAAGACTCTGAGAACGAAAAACACCTACATTCCTTCTACAACATTGCCAAGAATATGTTTTTGCTAAACAGTAACATGATACTGAACGAGTTACTGGAAGAAAAACATTTCACAGACATTGTTGGTATGTTAGAGTATGATCCAACGAATGGTCGGAAGAAACATCGGGAGTTCTTGTTCGAAAAATCAAAATTCCGGGAAGTTTTGCCAATTAAAACGGAGGATTTGAAGAAAAAGATTCAGATGACCTACAGGGCACAATATGTTCAGGTTGGTTTTTGCTAATGCTTGATGTTTTTAAGGGGTTTTCAAAGTTTTTTGTTTTAAAATGAGATTTAACAAGAGTAAGAGTAATTTAAATAAATTATGTGAAATTTTCAGGACGTTTGTCTGCCAGCCCCATCATTGTTCGAAGAAAACTTCTTGACATGCTTAAACAGCCATCTTTTCTTCTCAAGGGCGGAAATCGTATCTTCTTTGTTGGTATGTTATTCTTCAACATTTCGTTATATTAATCAGCATGTTAACTCTGTTTTTCCTCTTGACTAAGAATAATCATCAAAGCATTAAAACCTTATTTTTAGAATGACAAAGAATTGATGAAGCAACTTTTCGACGAGCTCAAGGACCCAAAAACACCTCAACTTCGACGCCGGGACCTGACCAAATTCTTGAAAGAGTTTTGTTCGTTTGTTCATTCTCTACAAGCGTCGGGCGGTGGCAGGGAACAGTTCTTCAAAACCATTCTGAACCAAGACATGCTATCTGGCATTGATCTTTGTATCTCTTCGCCCTTACCCACAACAAGAGTAGCATCCATCGATGTGATTTCTATGATTGTTGACTATAATCCTATATTCATGAGGGACTTTCTGTACAAACAAGCTAAAAGTATTCCAGAGGATCGACCGGTATGTTTTTTATATTGTTTTGTTTATATTTTAGGTAACAAATCGGGGTTTTTTTATTTTTGTATATGAATTTTGGAATCTGTTGTAGTACCAAAATTGGTTCAACAGATATCAAAATGCACAAATTGATATTTCTGCCATTTTAGGATGGTGTGTTGCTGAACAAGATTGTCAAGTTGATCATGTTGGATAGAGATCCCGAGCTTACCACTGCCAACAATATTTCACTTTTGATTAGAAACCTGTTAGATGCTGAAAGTATTGTTACATTGGCAGCTGTAGCACGGACTTCCCCCCGCGCGTTACTGGAGAAACAAGGCTCAAAGTCAGAGAAAACGGATTTCTTTGCCATGTTTTATCAACGAGTAATCGACACATTGGTTCAACCTTTGTTTGTTAACATCAAGGATGGCAACATTATAAGAGGTTGGTTTTTTACTTTTAATATTATGTTGTGGATTTGTTGGTACTTTATGATATTTTTATTTTATTTAATTGTTGTTAATCTGGTTGAAAATAAGGTTTTCTATCTATTTTAACCTAAAATTTTGATAATCTTTATCAAAAATATTTTAGATGATTACTACCGAGCGAATCAGATGGCCTTAATTTTGGAATTACTAAGCTTTTGCGTTGAGAATCACATGCATTCAATGCGAAACTTTGTGATTGCAAAAGATTTGTTGTCTACAGTGGCAGTCTTTCTCAAGTCGAAACATCAGTTCATGGCTTTGTGTGCTTTGAGGCTGATTCGAAAAGTGATACAACAGAAGGACGAAGCTTATATTAAGTATCTCGTGGACAAGAAAGTGGTTGATCCTATTGTCGGAGCTTTGATGGACAACGGAAACCGATACAATCTCATGAATTCAGCTATTCTCGAGTTCTTCGAGTTTGTTAGACATGTAAGTTATTTCATTTTTTAATGTTCAGAGTCTATGTATGAACTACACATCTTGTTTTTTTATATCAATACATAAATCTTCTATAATTTATTTTTGACCCTTTTCAGGAAGCGATTGGACTCTTGCTCCACTACACAATAGAAAATCATTTCGAGACGTTGAAACAAATCGAATATGTACAGTTATTTAAGCAGATGAAGCTACGTCACGAGGCGATGGAGAACTGTAAAGCCGACATTAGTAATAGCAGTTCAGTTCGCGCTCCAGAATCTCCAGTACGTCGTCTACCTAGTCAATGGGCGAAGGAGCCGGATTACGACAACGACGAGCTGTTCTTCCCTAAAGATGACGCCGACGAAGAGGAGGAGGAAGAAGAATCCGACTTCACAAGACGATCTCCCAAAAGGAAAAGTGGCATCGAACCAATGTATCCGTCTGTAGCCAAACGAAAGTGTAGGTTTTGGTTTTATTAAGGGTTTGGGCTGTTTATGAAGGTTTTAAACGATCAACGCAATAGTTTATTTTTTTAACGCTAAAACACTACTGATAACTAATATTGTTCATCTTCAGTGAACTCAGACGACGAAGGCGTAGCCTCGATCTTTGGCGGATCTCTATCACCTCCTATTACCTCATCCAACAGAAAAATATTGATAAAAGTGCGAGACCGGTTGGACTCGTCCTCGCCACCCCTCGAGAACGACGAAGAGAACGGCTCGCCAGTCTCGATAACAGCGAACTAAAGAACGGCACAAGTTTGATTGTTTTGTTGTTATAAGGCGCAAAAAATCGATTGATGTAAAAAGAATTGCCACTGTTTTAAGTTATTATCATTGATTAGCAACACTTTTTCGGACGGACAATATTATGTTATCTTTCATAGATGTCTCTAAAACACGGTCGGAGCAGTTGAGTATGTTGTAGAAGATGTCGAGTCAGTAGCTATTAGGAGAAGGAAGAGTTAATGTTTATATCCATTCTTATCACAAAATGAAATCGTATTAGTTGGCGGTAGTAGGGCAGGTTGGAGGGCCAAAAGCTGTGTTTTATGAGTTTTAGTTGTTATCAAAGTTGATTTTGACTGCTTTTAATAGTAGTTTGCCTACTTTTAAGGTGGATTTTATCTTTTAAAGATAGTTTGTGCCATTTTTAAGAGTAGTTTACCTTTAAGTTCGAATACGACTCTGTTAAAGCAGTGTTTAGTCACTTTAAGGCACACTTTAACTTCTTTAAACTTAGTTTGAATTCCCCATTACCTGCTGTGTTCAAAACAAGCGTCTGCTTTCAACAATCCTTGTTTTTCTTCGCATTTATTGTAGCTACATATCAGTATACTATACTATTAACACATTGTATATATTTTGTTATTTGTAACGTATTGTTATTTTTTAAACCCATCTTGAGTTGTAACAACGTAAAACGAATAATTTCCTACTTCAAATAAATTTTAAATGATAAGTCAGGGTAGGCGACTAGTTTTTGGCCTAAATTTGGTAGCGTTTTGAACAAAAATTTTAAAAAAATAGGGAAAATTTTGTGAAATTAGAATAGATTTAATAAGAATTAAGTTTGGTTTGGCGAAAGCAATAGTTTTTGATCAATTTTGTTACCTAATTTTTAAGTTTTTGAACAATTTTGATTTTTGTTACCTAAATTTATATTTTTCGGCTTTTGAAGGGTTTATATTGGAGTTTTGATCAATTCTTTAAATTAGTTTAGGTTTAGATAACAGGACAGATTGTTTTCTTTAATTGTAGGTGATAGGGAAGGTGTTTACTTTTGATTAGCATTGATCTGCACATCTTCTCCTTCATATTCAACTCTCTTGAGCGTGTTTGCAAGAGTTTTTTTTTATTGTGATTTGTTTTGGAGATTAAAGACGTATTATTCAAGTGGTATTCATGTTCAAACACAATCATAATTTAATACCTATGGAGTTTTAAATTATTAAAAAAATTCTTTTATATGGTTAGAAATGGCATTTTTATCATTAAAAGTGCCATTATTGTGAAAAATAAGTCACTTTTCTACAGTTTTCACTTAGAAAGGCGTCAGTAACAGCCCGATTTTACCATCAAGATAATCGTCGAAAGCTGTTTTACCGATGGTAAAACAAACTTTGGGGTAGAACTTGTTCTATAGACAAAAATATTTATTGGGTAATATGATAATAAAAGTATTGCACGGTAACAAAACGAGAAAACGGAGATTTGTTCGGTGATATTCATAGTTTGACGATAAGGAAAGCACGTTAGGGAATATGTTAACGTAGGAGACTTTTATGTTAACGTATGATAGGGTTGTTAACGTATAAGGCGAATACGCTAACATACGATAATAATATGTTAGACGACGGTGCTAAGATGTTTTATGGGAGGATGTAAAATGTTGTAGTAGGTTCTAGTTGAAAGGTAGCATATTTTCACAATATGAAAAGAGCATCATACTATGACAATATTCTTACATGTTGATCAATATACGAAGATATATTACAATACAAGCCTTTACATCCATCCCAAACGATTGCCACTTCTACCGGTAATAAAATAAGGGACCACTACATGGTCAACTTATGGTTGCCAGGCCAAAGCGTACTGGCCGTTCTTCTCCACTTTGCACGATTTTCCGTCTTTGAAGTGGGATTTGTAGGCAAAGTCGTCGGTGGCGACCACGGTCTCGAACTTACCGCCCAACATCTTCTCGGCCGCGCCTTGGATGGTGTCGGCGGAGCCCAAAAGGTCGGAGGCGGTCATGGCTTGCTTCATGGCGTTTTCTGAATAAGATTAGGTAATTAGAGGGTATTTTCTAGTGAAGTTATGTTTTAGATCATATGTAATATACGAAGAAGATTTAGTAAAAATACTGTTTTAGAAAACTTACCCAAGTCTCTGTTACAGCATGTGAATCCAGAGTCGTTGATGTAGCATGAATCGTCTTGGGCATAGACCGAGACGGCGATGAGGGCGAGGGCGGCAATCACTAATCGGTTCATTCTTTATCTACAATAACGTACAATTAATCTACAACAACACAATATAAAAAACAAACCTGAAAAATGTCAAAAGAACGCGCGTTTTTAATATCATTATAATATACTGCTCGCCAATATACTACAGTCAAACCTCTTTAGTGTGGCACTAAAAGAACCGGTTCACATTTGTCCTTATAATCAGCGTGTTGCACTTCCCAGGTACTTTTGATAAGGGTTCTATTACGAAGGTTGCTCAATGAACTGTCATTATAAATAGGGTGTCATACTATCGAGGGTCAAACTTAAGAGGTTTCACTGTATTAAAACATTGTATATATTTTATTAATTGCATGAGTACACAGGCAAAGTTATAATTGGGTATGAGAAGATACATTTTTGTGCTTATAAAAGCATGTCAATTAAAAAATTTTTTTGAATGCTGAGAGGATCATGCCCAACTTTTCAAAAAAGTTGTTAGGGCGAGAAGGAGGCAGAGTTTCTGAATCATCTGTCCTTTTTGATAAAAAAAAATTATTTGTTTACGTACTCAGCGTGAGTACGATACTCAACATGAAGAAATACAGAAGAAGCAAAACTTTTAAATTACATTCGTGTTCAGTGTGACAAATCTAATTAAGAGAGGTAAAAGCAAGATACGATAACTGGTTGCAATTATTAAAAAGACCATCGGCTATTTGGTCAAACACAGTAAACAAATCTACCGAAACTGATTTCAACAAGGAAGAACGTGGTTGATAATCTTCAAGGATGCATCTATTACCTTACTAAAATATTTCTTATCTGATGTTTGGTGATAGTACAACATATCACGTAGAATTTTGCGTAAACTTTTAAATCTTTTTATGTTACAGTACCTATGATGACATTTAAAAAAGCTCAAAATATTAATAAATCAACAAAAACCAAGATACGATACCAGATAACCACCAAAACCAGTATAAACGTTGACAACTCGTCCAGCTCCAAATAAATATGACACCAAAATGCCACAAACCGTCTATCTCACGTTCAACTCCATACTGTACGGTAAACAAGAATCCTCGCCGCATACAGTAAGCAACAAACCTCGCTGCCGACGCAACAACTTTTGCATGTTATATAAGCCGAAATGTCATCGCGGAATGACGGATTCATTAAGGCGAACGAGCTTCTCGCCTTTTTGAATGGACTTTTAGAATCCATCCCTCTCTTCATCGTCACGAAGAATGCGGAGGAGGCGAATTAAGCAAGACACCCCGGAGGCAAGTTTTTTTACAGCGCCAAATTAAGGGATGGGTCGAGAGATGCGTTTACGATCCGCGCCAACCGGCTCCCTACACTGCCACAGGGCCTGGGGTTTGTTCGCGACAAAAAAATAAGAAGGAGGTTTAATTGTTGAACGGCGGAGATAACAAACCAGAGTCAATTATTCATGCTCAAGGTGTTTGCAGATGTCCGGTCGATTTGTTAGGAAAGTTTGGGAAACATACAGGTTATGGTACAGAAGTTAGAACAAATGGTTACATTACATAAATCATTATAATAAACCAAAAATTATAAAAGTTAGCAAAGATCGCGCATAGAAAAGTGATAAAGCAGTACCTAATGCGTCGCTAGATCCTCTTGAACCTAAACTAAGTGCTGAGACAGTCGATTTGATAGAGCAGGAGGAGAGGAAGAGTATGGTAAATATCGTCCACAGCTAAAAGCTTTTTTTTCAGGAAGTAGGTTTTTTAGCAAAAAATGACAAAAACCCTCACCTACAGAAAAAAATTATAAAAACTTAACCAACTTTACTTGTTAAAGTAAAAAATGTAAAAAAATCGACATGCTGGGACAAAACATATCGTACCTTCCCTACCTTATTCTACTGCACCCTAATATATCCTACAGGTCCCCATCCTATCCTACCTTACCCTATCTTATTTTATCCTATCTTATCTTACCCTATTTTACTTCAAACCAAATTCGGTTAGAAGTAACCCCAGGTATGCACTGCTGCAGGGCACGTCAGTGCAAAAGCAAGGCATAGGAAAACCGTCAACTGTGTTCACACTTGAGAAACAAACATTATAGACAATGCTTCACGTATTACAATAGAAAAGTAGCATTATAACAATACGTTTAATTTCTGTATAACCAATTGCTTGAGAATTTTAAGCTTGTTCGTTAGAAAGGCAGTTTGCTATAAAAAAGTTTGTTATACGAAGAACCCCTCAGTAGATCTAACATACAACAATAAGAAACCTTTGCAAAGCTTATAAAAATCGAAACCCATATGCAAATATAACATAACTCTAGCAGCACGTGTCTTTGATACTATTTGAGAAGCAATAAACGAGTAATAGCCAGAATTGAGTTGAATTGGCGACTAAAGAGAAATGCCGTTTTTCGATCGTTTATTACTCAAAAGATACGAAAATAAAACACGATCAAGCGGATGAATGGTGAATCTAAGACAATAAGTCAAAGAGGTTCAGATATGTCACAAAATGGTTAAAAAATTTTAAACCTAATTGAGCGAAAAATATAGTAATAAGTGTTGGGTTGGCGATTATGGTCTGGCGTAAAAAACAAAAAATTTTTTTTTCAGTTTTTAAAAATTTATTTAAAAATCTAAGGGTTTTCAAAAGCCTATAGCCATGCCCCAAGCTCAACCTTGTCATGAAAACCTTCTTACCGGTGATATGGCTCATATTGAAGAGTGAGGAAAGTAAAAAATGCCCATATCTCAGCTCATTCTCGATCAAATCGGCCCGATTCTTCACCCACCAATGTAAAAAAGCATAAAAATTATGATTATCTTATCTTTGTTACTTCTAAAATAGTTACAGTAAAAATTTTTTAGTACGACCTCGGCAGTATTAAACCCTCGTTATAATGACAGTTTATGACCGCTCTTTGTAATATAACTCCTAACTAAAAGTACTTGGATAATGGGACATCCTGGTTATAATAGCACTTTGGACCAGTCGCTTGAGTATCATACTAAAGAAGTTTTAATGTATATAGTAATTACAGCTTTTTTCTTTATATAACTGTTTTTTGTCTATAACTTTTATAGTTAATTTTTTTTAATAATGACATATTATCATAAAACAATATATTTCATGCCAAAAGAAACTCCCTTTTCCAAACAGTTTTTCAACTCTCCCCCCCCTCTCCCAAACTAAAACCAAAAACAACAAAAATTGACCACGGTTACTCCTTATCACTACTTCTGAATAATGTCACAACAAAACTCGTGAAACAAACGCCCAACCCGCCATTATGACATGACACCAGCTAATGATGACATGACACCCCGTACTGATGGTTATCCGGCTTGATCGCGAATTCCGGATACCGCCGCCCAGAACAATGGCTAGCGGCTTTTCGGCGTCGCTTCGAACGGAACAAAAAGTCGTATAGTCAACGTACGAACATACGACGATGTAGTGTTAACCCTATTGTATGAACCCATCCATTGTGGGATGGGTCGCGGCAATTATCTACCCCTCCCAAACAACATTTTCATGTAATTGACGATTATATAAAGATGTTTTTCGATCAGTTTTTAATGATTTCAAGGGTGTTCAAGGAATCGGTGGTCGAAGAATGGTCTTGGCGAGGAGAAGAGTACATTAGAAAAGGCAATTATAATATTAGAACTCAAAAAGTACTGTGTGAAGGGAAGGGCAGTAAGGGGGAAAAGTTTGGGGAGATGATAAAAGAAGAAGCACCCCTTATGCCCTACTAATCTTACATTAGAAGGTAGGTGCTAAAGTTTATAATAAGTTTCTAAAAAACGTTACAATGGCTTTCTATCATTCAATTTCAACAAAAAAATTTTAAAGTCTTAGGCATTGAAAAATTTTTTGATTTTACCCCTCCTGCTCTTTCCTCTACCTACTTACTAATTACAATTACTAGTTTTTTACTCTGTAAACATAAAAATGTAAATTTAGACAAAAAGGTCAAATTCATGAAGTAGATCACTTTAGTTTGCCCTTTTATATTTTTATTGACAATATAAATTTATGGCGCTATTTTGTACTAAGTAGTGCCATGTCCTTACCTTTCTCAATAAGTAGTGACATGCTTTTACTATGACCATTAGTCCAACCTTTTCTAAAACTAATTCTAAATAAAATAAAGTTTTTTATTAGTACCTATTAAAACAACAAAATTGGTCGGTCAAGGAAGTAGCATGTTACTTAAAGCAGTAAGAGCAATCAGACCTATTATGGCTAAATCATAAAAGTTTTTGTTACAACTAGACTTATAAAAAGGCCGGGAGGGTATTGGCTTGGGCTTCTGCCCTCACAAGATCAAATGTGCCGGCTCGGCTTTTTTTGTTTTACACTTTTTGCAAACTAAATCTTTCGTCGCAGAACCTAAGCTGAGCTGTTAAAGCTTTCATTTAGTCATGGCTTAAGTCTAGCTACAACAATATTTTTTCAATAAAAAAAATCCAAGATTTGCCAAAAAGCTACAAAAGTACAGTACAAAGTAAAAAATTAAAACAAAAATTTTAAACTTTTAAAAAATGATAAAAGACAACATTTCCTAACTGAAAACGCAACAAAATCCAATGTTTAAAAACCAGTTTGAAGCTGGTCATCTTAACAATGATATATATCTCAAAAGCTAAAAACAGGTAAAAGAAAAACAAATCCTCGGAATGGACTTTGAGTTGGCGGTCAGTAGGCCTTTTCAACCGATTTTTAAGTTTATTTTGCGTCGACTCCGCCCCCAAAACAAGTTCTTCTCTTTCGCTGATCCAGCAAGTCTTCTCGAACTTGATGTTTAGTTTTTTGGAAGAAATTAACGTAGCTATTAACGTTACATAAGGCATACAAACATATTTATATAATTTATAAAAAGCCTGCTGATACTTGTAAAGAAGGCTTTATATAAGGTTGTTCAAGTAATTCTGTGCTCCTTTATTTCAAAAATTTTCTTTAAGAAGGAGCACAAAATTATTTGAAAAAAAACTTAATATAACACTCCTATATAAGCACAAAATTCAAAATTTTGCAAAAAAGGAAGTTTTTTAAGAAGAAAACACTTGACCCAACAAAAGTGTCATTAACAACAAAGTGTCACATTTTTTTATAAAAGTTCTATTCGAAAAGAAGCAGTAAGCTGTCAGTATAAAGAAGGTGTCACACTATCGAGGGTCATACTAAAGAGGTGTACTGTATAATAAATATCGTTTCTGTAACAAATATTTATATACATATATATATATTACATATATTATATTATACCTAAAACAATGATTAGTACCTTCTTACCTTGAAAAAGGAAGTCTTTGCTTCTCTTTTTGTTATTGAGTTTATCGCTGAACATCCGCTTGCAAATCGTTAGCGAACATTAAAATGGCGATTAGGTAAGTAAAACGGGATATGTCTAATTAAACGTGTCATATATACATAATACAATCAAAAGCACAGCAGGATAGTAATGGAATTTTGAAAGTTATGTCATCCGAATTGTAGACAGTTTCTTTTGGTATGAAAATTACCTTGTTGTAGCCAGTAATATAAACTTTTTTGAGAAAAAAAATTTTTAAATCTACTCGAAGTTTTTTTTTAAAACACTTTATTACCTTATATTACATTATTAACATCAAAAACGACACTAAACCTTCAAGAACATAAAACAAAATTAAATTCATCTACTGTCTCAAAGGCAGTTTGACGTTTTCAGGCCGAATATCGTATGATTCAGGTGTGGCATAGATAAGAACAAACTTGGAATTGACCAAAGATTTGCATAATAAGTTATCTCTGAAGTTGGCCTTGGCAGCAAAGTCACCATTAGCCGAAATCACTTCGAAACTTGTTTGGAACTCTTGCTCGGCCAAATTCTGAAATTCAAAAAAAAAATTAAATTTTAAACTTTTTTCAACATAAAAATTTTGAAAAAATAAAAAATTCAAAAATTTAAATTCAAAAAATTTAATAAATAAACAGCCCGCTCAAAACTCCGTACCTTCAAAGTCTCGCTGTAGATGTCAATGTTGCACTTGTTTTGGTTCTTGTTGATCATAATGTCACTGGCTCTGTAGATCAGCTCTTCCAAGATTCTATTACAACATAGCATGCCTTGTTGAGTTCTGTAGCATTCAGGAAGTGGCAGGTCATCATTTCGGGCTACAAGTTGCCCATTCCTTTCGTATGTTGCACTTAAACTGGCTGGAGATACCACGGAATTGAGGAAGTTTTGTCTCTAAAAAGTAAATTATACTTTTTATATGTACTGCAGAGCAAAAAAGCGTATTTTACACTTACAAAACTGTTCAAAAAATAATGAGCCATTGTAACAAAAATACGACCCAAACCTACCACAGTCCTACCACCACTGCGAGCCACATTCTTAGCACCATTACTCTTCGGCTGATCCTTGAAGTTACATCCACCATGTCTCACCGTAGCCGATGCAAATTCATTCAAAAAACTGTCTCTAGGTCCCATGAAAGCTTCATGGTTCATTCCATAATCAGGCACATCAACATCAATATACGGTTTGGCGACTGGTCGATTGTTTTGAGGCTGGTCGTCTCTTGGCATCAACAGGCCTAACACACCATCTCTGTTAGACTTGGCTTTCTTGTTCTGTTTGTTCCCGTCTTTTGAGTTGATTTCCGTGATTTGGCCGAACAGATCGTAGTCATAGTCTTCTGGAGATGGTTGAGGGTTTTTGTTTGTGTCTACGTTGATTTGAAGTCGGTTTTCTTGGTTTAAGACTCCTCGGGCACGCTAAAAATTAATTTTGAAAAATATTTTTACTGAAAATTTTTTTGACCTTTACCCCTCTACCGTATACGTAGCAAAATTAACCAATTGTCACTTTGTAAAAAATAAAAAATTTTTCCAAAAAAAAATTTTGAATAATTTAATTGGTCCTCCCTGTCAATTTCCAAAAAAAAAGATTTAATTTTTTAGCCTCCCCCGTCCAAAAAAAACAAAAAATACCCGCCCGGCACTAAAATTTACAGTGTCAACATACCGCTCTGAAAGCATTTTCCTGTTGATAAACAAACCGATTTTCAGGTAACCCGCCCAAATTGATGATGAGGTTTCCATCAGGTCCATGCTCAATTTCTCTGATTATTTGAGCAACTGCCTGAAAAATTTTAAAAAAGTTTAAAATCCACACTTTTGAATAAATTAGGTTGTTTAAATAATTCTGTGCCCCATCTCAAAGCAATTTTTTGGAGAAATAGGGCACAGGAGTTTTTGAACAGCCTAATATCACGCTGTGCAAATAATTCTGAGCCCCATAACTCAAAAATTTAAAAAATTTGCTTTGAGGCACAGAATTATTTGAACAACCTAATAATATGAAATAAAATCAAATTTCTAAAAAATTTTAATTGGCTTTTATAATAATTATAAAAGAATAATAAAAATCAAAATATTAATACCTAAAAGCCTCAAACTTACCCCACTAAAGAATATCAATGCCAAAGGGAAGAGCTTCATTTTATCGATGAAATTGAAACAATCGAAAGTGAAAATTGAGACGAACAAAAGTCGACAAGCTCTTTTTCTTATGGATCCGGCTTTCTTCCGGAAAGTCGGCGAAAGTCAAGACTGGAAACCGGTAATCTCTCAGAATGGATGGAATTTATCATATCAGTAGTGTAATTGGAAGTGTGAGTTTTGATTTGGAATGGCGGCAAAAGTGGGCATGATTAAAACGAAGTAAACTTTAAAAGTTTTAAAAAATACAAAACAAGCTATTACCAGAGAAATCGAGCTTAGTTCTTCCACTTCAAATTGTAAAATCACGTCCCAAAAATAAGGTATAAGACGAAAAAAGCGAAAAGTTTATGAATAACAAACTAATAGTAAGACAAGGTCGATGTTAATTAATTAGACTCGGTAAAACCAACTAATCTAAAAACTAACCTAAATTTCGTACAAACAATAAAAATACTTATCCATTGACTCTTTAGATTTTTAGCTCCAAAACAAGCAAGAATCCACAATTATTACCTAAAAATAGATTCGACACAACATCAAAATGTGTAGACTAGAAAACATCACAAAAAACTTGAATTTAGATTAACTTTTGAAACCCTCAACAATATAAATTCATGTTACAAGCTACAGACATCACGTACCTTTAATATTGTGAAAGAAGCGAAAAATACTTTGCAAATTTTCAATTGACACTACTCTTCGTATAACTTGGTTTTTCTTGGTTGCGCCCGGCATCTGTTTTCTGAATTCTTAGGCTATCTATTCAAATACATTGCTTGAGGCAGAGCCGTACTTTGCAACAAAAACATAGCTCTTGGCTTTCTGCACCACATACGTTCGGTGAGGTTGGAGAAGAGAACACAAACAGTAGCAGTACAGCGGGCAAGTTGAACTGTCAGTAATTTTGAAGGACGTCAGACTCTGTATCACGATCTATGTATGTTTATATCGGTATAAAGCTTTTTGGTGTGAGATATTCACAGACCAAGCTACAGAGCCTCAACGGGTATCAATGAACTACCAAATCAACCAACAAGTATCAATCAAAGAGTTAATCAAATAGTATAACGAATCAAAACAATACCACAAACTTTATTCAAAACCAAAGATAAATTACAACCAATCTACTTGACACTTGACCGACCGATCGCCGGGTTTCAAATTGAGGCTACTGACGTAAAAACGGCCGAGTTTTGACCAAAAAAACCAAATATGTAAATTTTTCTAGTGGAAAATGCGATAAAGCGGTCGAATCCGCTTACAATCGGTTTCATATTCGTATTATTGTTGATTGTTTGTTGAAGGTAAGTCTTATAACCTTTTATTGCCTCACAGGGCTTCAATAGAAAAAATTATTAAAGGGAGCCAACCTTAACTTATTGTTAGGTGGAGTAAGGTAAAACAAGTTTGGGTATCTTTACCAATAATTTTTACACAATGTATAAAGTTTATTAAACTAATGTGCATATATATTCTTTTCATCCACATTCCATTTGTCTACCCTATTTTTACATGTCCTTTTAAAACCATTCATAATGTGGCAAATTTGGGTAATAAATAATTCCGAAACATTAAAAGATAATGGCAGATTTTATTCAGCGCGTGAGAATAATATTAAAATTGGCCAAAAGGCATTGAACCGGTTCTTCTTTTGAAACTACACTGACTTCTGGGAAATAGTCTATGTTAGTGAAAGAGCGGCGAGGGAAAGAGAGAACATTCTAAAAAGCAGAGGGAATGTTAAGAAAGAATGGCAGAAGCATAAGAAAAGCTGAAAATATGACTGAAATTATGACATACGAATAAGAATAACAATATAGAACGCTGAGAAGTGAGACGACAAAGAAGTGGAAACGCATTAAAGCGAGGATATAAACATAATATATGAATTTTGCTTATTTTTATGGCAATTTCTTAACGTCAAAAGTGCTAATTGAAGTGCAAAGAGAACGCTTTTTTGAGTTTTTGTTATTATGATCATGAGATGGATGTGCAGAAGGTGATTTAGCATAGACCTAGCGTCAGTACTAAACGAACTATAGTAGTGTAAGGTAGCGTAGGGTTATAGTTAATAAGCGTACGGTATTTCTAGAGACAGACAAGTATACATATGACTAAGATAGAACAAAGCTATTTTATGGTAGGCTATGGGTTGAAAATTATTGTATGAAGTAGAAGAAGGATAGGGCATGCTTATGTTGAGACAAGGTTCAGCTAGAGTTTTGGTTTTTGCGTGGCAAAAGAAAGGAGTGATAAAACAAAAAAAATATTTCTAAATATTGCAGCTGAGTGAAGTATTATAGTAAGATTTAAATAAGGCAAGGCAGAAAGATAGAGCTGGGGTACAAGTCAACTAAGGTAGTAAAGTGGAAATATATATAGTCGAGAATTTTCCAGAATATACCAAGTACTCTTGCCAGTGGGTAAATAAAATTCAATTTTTTCGCATTTTGCGTATAGTACCGTACTTGTACTCAGTACTATCAAACTTCAAAGATTGGTCAACTTTCAAAGGCCAAGCTGTTTTTGTTTTAGCCAATTAGAGGCAAACGGTCTGTTCAACAAAACTCTGTTGTATTCAAAAGTTCCGAAAAGAAGGAGGAAAATGCAAATTAAAGTCTTTAGGGCATTTTTTGGCTCCAGACTCGGATCCTAACGAACAAGACGATGACAACATTAAAAAGACTTTGATTGCGTTCAGAGGCCCGGAAGACTTTCAATGGGGTTATATTATTTATTCAATATAACTGATTATGGGGTCGGGTGGGGGAGAGGCTGGTCGACAATTGGCCTGTTTTGAGGATTTTTTATATTGAAAAATAGTTTTAAATCTTGATATTTTTTAAAAATTTTATATGAATTTGTTTTATTTTAGCTTAAGTTTTAGCCTACGCTTTAATGTTAGTCGTAGTCTTAGCCTTAATCTTGACTTTGGTCTTAGCCTAGGCTTTAGTCTTAGCTTTACTCTTACACTTAGTCTTAGCATTAAACTTACCCATACTCAGTTCACGGTAATTTCAAAGTGCTTGTAAACAAAGTTTTTGCTTTATATGGTTTTAGATAATTAAAGCTGACGTCTGACTTTTGTTGTTCTTAAATTAACATAATTCGTCCGATGAACTTTGCAAACTGCTTTTGACGTGCTCTCTATAGTATTATACTTTGCATAATTAAAGCTGTAAACTAAAAATTATTAGAAGAGCTGGTATGATTAGGGTAGAGTAGGGTAGGGTAGGGTAGAGAAGGGAAAAGTAGGAATGGTAGGGAGAGATTGGGTAGGGTAGGATAGTGTTTATAAAATGATACATTGTGATATTGTTATCCGGTTGTGTGAATAATATAAAGCTTGGAAACCGCACGAAAACTGTCATAAACACAACCAAATAACAATGTAATCAATTTTTATGTAGTCTGTAAAATACAGGATAAGCGACATGTCGTCTACAGTTTTTAGGCTATTGCAAAATAAAAAATGGCTATTTTTGTAGCTTTCCTTTATCATTTCTCTTCATATTATCAGGCTTTTGATACGATACGATTTCTGATACTCACAGTTGTTGATACCTATGTATATCATATAATATATTGTGTCTCAGACTACCTAACATACAATTTTTGCAACTTCTTCCAAGTAACTTAGTATATCTTCGAAGTTCTTAGTAAGGCAGTATATATTCGAATAAACAAGTTTAATTCGTATCTTCCAGACAACACTGTTATTGTTATATCCTTTTAAGTGGACCTCATAAATATCTTGAACTTTGAAAACGCTTTCGAACACAAAAACACCGTTTAAATTTGGAATGTAATTTTGTTTTGACAAAGGTTTTTTTAGTTTTTGGTATGAATATCTTACATTTTTTGTGTGTTACTGTTGTGGCACTGTAGCTGATAGACATGTGTGGTTGTAAATTGTTAAATTTACACATACGTTATTGTAGATTGTAAAAAGTTATTATATGTGAAGTTTTTGTTTTGTTAATCAACTTTTTTTAAACTTCTGTATACAGTTGTAAAATTTAAGAAAAATTAATTTAAAAATGCAAATTTTAATTTGTTAAGTAGATGACTCTAATTTTTTACTTAATCATAGTGTTGTCGAGTATAGCATGACGTTTTGATGCTATGTATTAACTACATAACTGTATATTTTTACTGTAAGGCGTACTAAACCATAGCAACATAGAAAAGGTTTACATAAATGTTTGTTGAACTACAAAATACATTTTAAGCATGCATGCTTTATATAAGATTTTACTACCTCTTCACATAAATTAAAGTGACCTAAATATATATATGTATATATGAGTTCACTACGTTTAAAATTGCAAATTTACATTTTGTTGTTGTCGCGGTAAAGGTGAGTTCCATGATGTTGTCTTCCCTTTTGAATATATATATCTTAACAAGGAAGTTTTGCCTCCTATTTAAACTGTCTTACCTTTTTACTGGTACTGGCCATTAGAACGTCACGTACTCAAAACAATTGTTTCCGGCGTGGGTTAAGTGAAAATATATTATTCAAATTCGTTTTATTATACCTAGGGTTACACTGGATTGTTTTTATGTACGTACTATGTTTTAGTTTACTATAATGTATTGCTATATTATACTGTACTGTTGTAGTATATTATAATGTACCTCAACGTATCTTAATGTACCATATAATACTAAATTGTGTTGTTATGAAGTTAATTTTGTATCTTGATTGTTTAAGGTAGTATTTAGTACTGTATTGTACTGAAGAACAATTCAGGAAATTGTCCTTGTATATAAAAAGGAGATCTTCTTTATAAGTGCTGTTACAGTAAATTTTCATTTATATATCTTCTGTAACGTAATGGTACTGATAGTTGTGTAAATATGTTCATTTTACACCTTGGCTTTAACTCTTTCTGTTAAACTTAGAAATGTCACGTAGATGACAAAAAGAATGCTGTCATAGTGGGAGAACATATACTGCATTAAACTTTTTAAAATTCAAGTATATGGCAATA